ATTCTATGGTAAAATATCAACCCCATTTGACATCTATCAAGAAGGAAAAAAAAATCACGACTGGAAAATGGAAAGCTATCATAAAACTAATTGGATCACAGAATACATTTTTGCAAAAAAAAAAATAAGGTGACAGGGAGAAAAAAATTTTCCACAGCAGCTATTTCAGCACAATGTAGCTAAATGCAAAGTTATTAATGATTGGCATGAATTTATCTCCTACCCTTATACAAACTGTGAAGGAAAAATGTCAAGAAATGAGTGGAAGGGGGGAAATGAAAAATCCTTTCATTAATATGCTTTTTGCCAATCCAACCATCTAATTCAGATATTAGACTCCTAAGTTTAAGTTTTTAAAATGTCAATTTTAATATTGGTCTCAAAATATTAAATAAAATTTAACAATTTTAATATGTTTGAATATTAAACACTTAAGCTCTTAAAAATTATTCACCTTAAGGGGTGCCTGGGTGGCTCAGTCGGTTCAGCATCTGATTCTTGATCTCAGCTCAAGCTATGATCTCACAGTTTGTGAGTTTGAGCCCCGCATGGGGCTCTGCACTGACAGGGCAGAGCCTGCTTGGGACTTTCTCTTTCCCTCTCTCCACCTCTCCCTCTCTCTCTCTCTTAAAATAAATAAATAAGCATAAAAACATTTAAAAATTTAAATTATTCACTTTAAGTAAAAAATTTTAACTTTTGAAGGACATAGTGGTAGACAGAAACAGGATTTCTAAGACCTGTTCAGGAATGAAGGCCTTGCCTCTCTCAGTGGCTGTTCCCACGGGGATTACCTCAGCTACTGAGAGCTCCCCTGGGGTGGACCTAGACTTTGTTGAGAATGAATTACAGCTCAACTTCTCCCTCTGTCCAGTCCTGCTCCTTCACCTCCCTTCCACGATTGTTGGTCCCAAGGTCCTGAGCACTGACCTCTGTCTCGGTGTCTTGTCTGCCAAACAGCCATGCAAAGACTGGCAACATTGATCACATATTTGAAACTACGAAAGTGAGGGCACGATAGTGCGCATTACTCAAAGCTATGATCTGATTTATTATATATCCAACGGAGTTCAAAGCAGGGTCCCCAACAGACGTTTGTACGCCCGTGTTTGCGGCAGCATTATGCACAATGATAGCCAAGAGGCTGAAACAATCTGTGTGCACACGGACAGATGCATGCATGAACAGAACGTGGTATATACATACAATGGAATGTTATTCGGGGAGCCTGGGTGGCTGAGTCGGTGAAACATCCAACTTCGGCTGAGGTCATGATCTCATGGTTTATGGGTTTGAGCCCCAGGTCGGGCTCTGTGCTGACAGCTCAGAGCCTGGAGCCTGTTTCAGATTCTGGGTCTCCCTCTCTCTCTCTGCCCCTCCCCCACTCACACCTGCATCTCTCTTTCAAAAATAAATCAACATTTAAATAAATAAATAAATAAATAAACATTAAAAAAGCAATGGAATGTTATTCAACCTTAAAAAGGAAGGAAATTCTGATACGTGCTACAACGTGGATGAACCCTGAAAACAGGCTAAATGAAGTAAGCCAGTCACAAAAAGACAAATATTAATGATTCCACTTAGATGAGGTATTGAATTTCCATTCAAATTAATTCATAGGAACAAAGTAGAATGGCGGTTGCCAGGGGCTGAGGGGAGGGGGCTGGGGGAGATGCTATTCAACAGGTATAGTTTAATCTCATCCCGATGGAAGACGAGTAAGTTCTAGAAATCTGCTGTAGGACATTGTGACAATACTGTATTGTACACTTAATGTGGCAATCCTCAGGCAACCCCTCCCCCCAATCTAGGGACATACTAATATGGCACATACTCATCAGGACCAAAGTGGCTCCAAAGACAAGGTCTAGAGTTTCAGTTTTGCAAGATACAAAAGCCCAGGAGATCGGTTGCACAACCACATGAATAACTACACTTAACACTGCTGAGCTGTAAAAAACAAAAAAAATAAATAAGATCGGATATGAAGAAACTATACACTGATGCTGCAGGCAGCATCTCTGTGAAAATAGAGGAAAATATAGGCACACAATGTACATGAGTCCATTTTTGGCGAAGCAGCGACGTGGGCTCCAGGGCAAAGCTCCACAATTCTGACAACTTATGGAAAAAACGTTTATGCGGAACATAAAGATTGGTCACATGTGGTATTGCACATTATCTAGGCGATGACATTTAAAAAAACATTATAATCATAGCATGTTTGACCAATGAAATCATTTTGAATAAGATAAGGAATACTGTTGCTCAATTATTTTGCTGACAAAGCCTGCTTGTAGTTAACAGATCAGTTAGTAATGGTTGCTAGATGAGCAGATTTCCAGACTGCACCAATTCCTAGATGTAGGAAAATTAGGGAATTTTGTCCACTTTGGGGAGATAGTTGATGGCACATTTACTAACCTACTTAAGGAAACCAACTTTGGTTGAGGTGTGTCAGGGGGATCATTTGAGAGGCCAGATATTTGCATATGTGCACGGAAATGGAAAGGTGCATGCAAGTTTACAGAATACAACAGAAGATCCTGGAAAACATTCTAAGACATTCAACAGGAACTGCGGACACGCAAACACCAGGTAGTTGAGGACATCCAGACAGTGCTCTAGTAGGCATCTAGAGGTGGGGCTGAGACTCGGGAACACCTCCTGACTTGCCTCCTTTCTCTCTCCTTAGAGGAATAAATCCAACTGGACAATAAATAATGCAGCAAAAATTTCTTTTTTAAAAACATTTTTTGAATGTTTATTTTTGAGAGAGAAAGAGAGAGCACAAACAGAGGAGGGGCAGGGAGGGAGGGAGGCACAGAATCCGAAGCAGGCTCCAGGCTCTGAAGCAGGCTCCAGGCTCTGAGCTGTCAGCACAGAGCCCGACGCGGGGCTCGAACTCACCAACCGAGAGATCATAACCTGAGCCGAAGTCAGACGCTCAACCGACTGAGCCACCCAGGCACCCCAAAAATTTCTTCTGTATTACGGAATTTTTAAAAGATTTTATTTATTTTTTAAGCTTATTTATTTATTTTTTGAGAGAGAGAGTGCGAGCAGAGGAGGAGTAGAGAGGGGAGGGGAGAGAGAATCCCAAGCAGGCTTGACGCTGAGCCCACAGAGCCCAACGCGGGGCTCGATCTCGTGAACCGTGAGATCATAACCTGAGTCGAAATCAAGAGTGGACACTCAACCAACTGAGGCACCTAGGTGCCCCTAAGGTTTCATCTTTTAAGTAATCTCTACACCCAACATGCGGCTCAGAGTTACAACCCCAAGATCAAAATCGCGTGCTCTACCAACGGAGCCAGGCTACTACTGAAATTTTAAATATCATTCAAGCACTCTACGACCACTTTTCAGCTTCTAATAAACGTGGGAATATACTGAAAATACGTGTATTGAAAATAAATTTGAAACTGTTCAGCATGCAAAGAGAAAGTTGATTTGGTGGCGTCATAGTATTAGGAAATCAATTCTCAGTAGCAAGCAACAGCCTTTTAGAAATTGTTCATAACATTCGTGAAGACCTGCAACCTGGAACATAAGCCAAAGGTACACTTTGAAAATCATCTACTCTTGGGGCACCTGGGTGGCTCAGTAGGCTGGGTGGCCGACTTTGGCTCAGGTCATGATCCTGCAGTTCGCGGGTTCAAGCCCCACGTCGGGCTCTGTGCTGACAGCTTGGAGCCTGGAGCCTGTTTTGGATTCTGTGTCTTCCTCTCTCTTTGCCCCTCCCCTGCTTGTGCTCTGTCTCTCTCTCTCTCTCTCTCTCTCTCTCAAAATTAAATAAACATTAAAAAAAAGAAAATCATCTATTCTTAACTGGTGTTTTAAGTGAAATTAATATTTTGAGCAAAATAATGCAGGAATCCAACTCAATGCCTTAACCAGCACCAAAGGAAGAAAGGGTAACACAAGACCAGTGATATGTTAAAAATTGTTGAGGCTTGGTGGTGAGCATGGTATTCTCTGGAGGGTTGTGTGTTTTTAAAAATTTCTAACAGTAAAAAGTTTTTTAAATAACACCTTCATGGCTACCACCAAACATCCTCAGTTTTCCCCCAATCTCTTACATAATTAATTATTTGGTTACTAAAATTTAATTACTTGGGGGAAAAAAGGATCTCTGAGTTCACAGGGAGCTCAGAGTTCATGATGGATAGCCCCCTGTGGACATAAGAGCCTTGCCCAAATCCCTAGACGTAGGTCACCAGTCTCCACTTGACTACCTCCCACAACGGAGAGGTACTTCCCACCTAATATCTCACAGCCTCCAAAGGTACCTAAATGTTACTAGAATCAAAATCACATATGCACCATCACACACTCACACAGTCACTTACACACCCTCTCTCTCTCTCTCTCTCTCTCTCAATCTCTCTCTCTCACTCATACACACACACACACACACACACACACACACACTCATACACACACACCACATACATATACTCACACACACAACATGGCCTGGTCTGATGATTCTTTAAGCCTCAAATCTCTGAAACTGTGAACCATGGTGAACACATCCAAAGCCTCTGCCTTCCAAGGAGCTTCAGAAAACCCAGCCTCCGTCCTTGGCCAGCCTCTACACTCCGGGGGCCCTTAGCTCCACCTGTTCCTGTGTGGCCAGCACCCAACAGAGAGCCTGGGGCAGGAACTGGAGCAGCAGGAAGAACAATTTGGATGCAAAACAGGTTTGGGGAAGTGATGCCAATGGGAGAGGCAGTGGTTTGGCAAGAGGAGGGCAAGGATGACCAACCTGTGAGAGTCCAGGATCTGGAGAGTGTCCGAGTGCCTGGGTGTCAGCTGACTGTCACAGAAAAATTGCACCAAAGTTAAACAGGCACAGGAGACTTCACTCAAGACTATGGCCATAGAAGAGAGAGACTGAACTTGACTCCACCAAAACAAAATGTGGGAAGGTTTTTAAGCACTGGGTGGGCTGGTGGGACAGGGCTGGAGGATGATGGGAGAGGGGCCTGTCCATGGGACGTGCCCGGCACACCGAGTGTTTCCGAGTCTACGAGTGTTTTTCTCTGTGTAAGGCCATCTGTATTTGCTAACTGTCGCTTATTCAAGTTTAGCTCCTACCCTCCCTCCCACAGAGCCTGGGAGACGGAGTGGTGTGTGTGTGTGTGTGTGTGTGTGTGTGTGTGTGTGTATTTGCATGTGTGTGTGCACTATCTTCCTTGATGATGATGACTTTTAAAAAAATTTTTTTAACGTTTATTTATTTTTGAGACAGAGAGAGACAGAGCATGAACAGGGGAGGGCCAGAGAGAGGGAGACACAGAATCTGAAACAGGCTCCAGGCTCTGAACTGTCAGCACAGAGTCCGACGCGGGGCTGGAACTCACGAGCTGTGAGATCATGACCTGAGCCGAAGTCGGACGCTTAACCGACTGAGCCACCCAGGCGTCCCGAAGATGACTTTCAAAAGCGATGGCTCCCCAGTCCCTGAGGAAGACATTCTGGGATCATAAAACTGCTAAGAGGCTGGGGGAAGATTTACCTACATTTCAAGGAGACGGAGGAAGAATTTGCAATGCCAGCTTTTCTCACATAAGTATCCTAAGAAAAGGGAAGTCAGGGGCCTGTAGTCAGGAAGAAAGCTGTGTAAAATTTAATCAAGCTCAGGAAACTACTAAGGCCATCCTGGTCACTGCCATTATGTCAACTCTGTCCCATACATCTGTGGGTCTATGACTCTTGGTCTCTCTCTGCACCTGCCTGGTGTCCACCCTACATGCAACAGTGAGGGGTGTGATTTCAGAGGCAGCTCCATCAAGGGGGAGAAGCGGGCCAGGCCAGGAGATGCTGACCTGGGGTCACTGCCTCAGCCCCACTGCCTGCAGGGGCATCTGTCTGGATGTCCCCATCTGCTCCATGTCTGACTGTCCACACGGGTCTCTCCGTGTTCTCAAGAGATAATGTGTCCCTCTGATTGTCTGCCTGTGTCTCTATCTCCTGCAATTTTTTTAATTTATTCATTTAATAATGTAACACACGTTTATTAAAGTCACGTTCTGTTCATCAGGGTGCCCCTCTTCATGTCTGGGTTTGTCTGGATGTCTACATTTATATCCGTCCGCCCTTGGTATGACTGTCTTCCTGCATCCCATGTGTAACTGCCTGTCTGTCTGTCTGCCTCTCTGTTTGTACATTCATTGATTGATTCATTCATTCATACAACAATGCAAACATCCCTGAGGCTTCTGAGGAGTTCTCAGCCTGATAGGGGAGGTGACAGCAGTCCAACCCAGGATGATGATGGCTGGGAGACAAGGAGGTGCCTGAGGCTGAGGGTGAGTGGATGAGTGGGGAAGCTCAGGGTCAGAAGAGGCTTCTAGGAGGAGGTGATGTTTGTGTCTCTGCATCTGGAGACATGGGCCCCAGCATTGGAGATTGTGTGTGTGTGTGTGTGTGTGTGTGTGTGTGTGTGTGTGTGAGTTTACAGGTAATGTGTGTTCTGGTAGAGAAAGAGAAGAGAAATCAAGAGACCATCTGTGCCAACCTCAGATTAGAACACAATGTGGGGAACAGGGTAGAAAAAGAGCCTGCAAAACACAAATCCCCCAAAATAAGGGTTATAGGCCCCTGGCTCCCTCTTCCCTCAGACCCAGGAATCCAGACCCCAATCCCTCTCCTTCCTCAGCACCAAGGACTTATGATGGCCTAGTCATGATTACCTAGGTGGAGACCAGTCCAAGCCAGGAAGGGCGGGGGTGGAGGAATCCCAAGCACGAGCAGGGGTTGAAGAGCCGGGATGCCTGGGGCTAAGCAGGGAGAACCAGCCAGACAGAAATCAGAGCAGGAGGAGCTGTCCTCGGTGTCTCAGCTCAGCTCAACTCTGCAAGCTGGCAATGGGTGTCCCCAGAACCATCGTGCTCTTCCTCTTTGGGGCTGTGTTCTGCCTGACAGGTACCCAGACTTCTGAGCCCAGTGTTAGGAAGGTGTGAGGGGCTGGGGGCAGGACACCTGGGTCTGAGGGAGGAGGGTCTAGGGGCCTGGACTTCTGGGTCTGAGGGAGGAGGGGACTGGGGGCCTGGATTCCTGGGTCTGAGGGAGGAGGGGACTGGGGGCCTGAACCCCTGGGTCTGAGGGGGGTTGGGCTGGGGGGACTGGATCCCTGGGTCTGAAAGGGAAGGGGCTGGGGGTTTGGACTCCTGGGTCTGAGGGAGATGCGGCCTGGAGACTGCGTCCTCCTCCTGTGTCTTCCTCTCCTCTGTTCTCCCTCCCATCAGCCATTCTCTCTGGCGTCTCTCTCTCTCTCTCCACTGCTGCAGCCTCCCATCCTCTCTGCCCATGTCCCCATTCAAGGGTACTTCTGGGGACCCCTGGGGGCTCTTTCTAGACCTGGCAGAGAACTTTGGCCTCATCCTCAGGCAACCCCTTCCCCCAGTTTGAGTAAGGACAGGGACATACTCCCATCAGGAGTGAAGTGGCTCCTAAGACAGGAGCTGAGCCGGGGAAGGAGGCTAAGCCTGCACCCCGGCCACTGTGTGTGTCTGCTCATCCAGGGAACAGAGTGCCGTTTCTGTGTGTGTCCATGTGGGCGTGGCCAGTGGGTCTCCGGGCATATGTGTGTGTGTGTGTCTGTACCAGATCTCACCTGTGAGCAAGTGCTTGAGCAAATGCTCTATGGGTCTGTTTCCTCTGAGTTTCACTCTCTTTGCAAAGGAGGGGCGTGCATAATTTTGCACGTCTTTGCCACCCTGTGTTTGTGCGTCCCTGGGATTGGCAGACCCGCATTTGTGTCTGTGCGCATATGTGCTCGGGTGTCTTCACTCGCGCCCGTCTCTCTGTGTATCTACGCCTATGTCTCTCCTGTGTCTTGTACCTGTTTATGGCTTTAAACTGTATGTTTTCGTGGCCCTCTTTTTTGGATCTCTAACTTCGCGTAATTGTGGTCTCTCGTTTTATTTGCGTCTATGACGCTTGAGGCCGTTACTTGTCTCTCCCTCTGGGTATGACTTCCTCTGTCCCTGGGTCTCTCTGCGTGTTGTTCTTAGCTCCGCATCGTACATTTTCTGTCACGTGTCTTGGTTGGGGAAGTTTCCATTGGAGGGTCTGGGCCGTACTTGTCTTACATGGGAACGTAGAACTCTGCACGGATGCTCAGGAGATTCTGGGTCTGTTTGCGAGCCGTGCATGAGCCTGTGCCAATTTCGTTATGTTGTGTTTATGTCAGTGTTTTAGTTTTGTGAGTGTATCCCCCGGGGCTGGCTGTGTGTGTATATTTGGAGTACAAGATGGCACGTCCCATTGCCTATGCTCAAGTCTATTTTCTATCCATGGCCTTTTAGTGCTAGGACATCCTGAGTTTAGCTGGGAGACGGACAGGCAGAGCAGGAGTGAATCATTTCCTCCTTTATTTAAATCTTAGAGGGCTTCCTGGAGGAGGGTGGAGATCCGGAACACCTGGGGGAGGGAACCAGGCCTGGCAGATGCACAGAGGCCAAAACTGTGCCCGGAGGTAGACACAGTCGTGACCAACCACAGTGGCAGACCCCGATTCTCTCACCGCAACGAGGCCTGGCTCCCCTCAGAGCAGAGCAGCCTGGCTGGTGAGACTGTCACTCGCAGGGGGGAGTTCCTGGAACAGCCCCAAACCCAGCCTGCTCCTCTCACCCCCTCCACCCTGCTTCTCTCGGCAGAGTCCCAAGCCCAGCAATGCTACAGCTTTCAACACATCTACTTCGGGCCCTTTGACCTCAGTGCCGTGAAATTCCACAACATCTCCTGTCCCCACGGGTGCTCTGAGGCAGTCTTGTCCCTGGACACTGGTGAGGGATGGAGAAATGGCAGAAAAAGAAGAAGCCCGCGCACAAGGGAAAGGGGTGGGGCAGAGACCGAGATCAGAGATTAGGGATGGAGGGGGGCAGAGGGCGAGAGCCAAGGGGTTGGAGGGGCTGGGGAGAAGACGAGGGGACGGCTATGGACAGAGAGCGGAGGTGGAGGCAGGGAGGAGGAGGGAGGGGTGGGAGAAACACTGGGGATGAGGGGCGTGAGCGGGGTAGGAGGAGACAGCACGAGCGAGGAGGAGGGGGGAGAGGGGCAGAAAGGGTTGCGGAAGGGAGGAGGTGTGGGGGAAATAGGAGTTTGAAGGGAGAGGAAGGAAAGGGAGAGGCGAGGTGAGTGCGAGAGAAGAGCGGAGGAGGAGGGAGAGATTGGAGGCTAGAGGGAGAGGTCGAGCCCGGAGAGGTGGGGGAGGAGGAAGAAGGCAGGGACGAGGCAGCGCTCCAGGCCCCGGTCCCCTCCGCCCCCAGGGTACCGCGCCACGGTGACCGTGGTACAGAAGGGCTGCTGGACAGGCCCGCCTACGGGCCAGATGCTGTCCGACGACCGTGCGCTGCCGCCCGACTACTCGGTGGTGCGCGGCTGCAAGACCGACTTGTGCAACGCCGACCTCATGACCCACGACACCATCCCCAATCTGAGCCCGGGTGAGCCGGAGGGCGGGGCTGGGGCGGCTGGGAGGGGCCCCGGCCCGGGCAGGGAGGGGCGTGGTCCCCACTAGCCCCGCCCCCCTCGCTAGGATTCAGGCCTTCACTTCGGACTAGGCTGAAGCCACGATGCAGTGCGCAACCCGCACGACCGTATCTCGAAACCATTCGCTGAGTGTGCGTCTACGCTCTCTTGCCAGCGCCCAACCCGCCGACTCTCAGCGGCATGGAGTGCTACGCCTGCCTAGGGATCCACCCGGAGGACTGCACCCCGGAGAAGTCCCGACGGGTCCGGTGTCACCAGGACCAAAGCGTCTGCTTCCAGGGCAATGGCCAAATGACCGTCGGTGAGGGGCTGGGAGTGGGGGCAGAGCCTGGGCAAAGGGTGTGGAGGCAGGGCAGGCCTGAGGGTAGAGGCACCAGACAGGCCTGACAGGGAGACATGGACCTGGTCTAAGGGAAGAGGCATGGGTCTGGTCTGAGGGAGGAGGCAGAGCCCTGGTCTGGAAGGAGAAGGCATGGCCCAGTCTGTAGGAAGAAGCCATGTCCCTGGTCTGAGGGAGGAGGCAGGGTCCTAGTCTGAGGAGAGATGGGAAGTCTGAGGACCCGTTTGTGGCCCTGGCCTCTGAGGTGAGTTCAGGTGCAGCTGCCTCCCTCAGTTCTCACCCCTCCTCACTACCCCCGTCCAGGCAATTTCTCAGTCCCAGTATACATCAGGACCTGCCACCGGCCGTCCTGCACCATCAAGGGCACCTCCAGTCCCTGGACAAACATTGACCTTCAGGGCTCCTGCTGTGAGGGGCAACTCTGCAACAGGGACTCCGTGACCCAGTCCTTCACCACCGCCTCGGCTGCTGCCACCCCTTCCCAGGTGCCCCACAGCATGGCCCTGCTCCTCATGGTCCCCCTGCTGGCTGGCACTCTTGGAGGCGCCCTCCTGCCCTCCTCCTAGAAGCCCCTCCAGCCTCTTCCTGAGCAGGATGCTGGGGGCAGGCACGGACCCAGTACTCCCAGCTTCACGCAACTTCAGCCTCTGTAATGTGGCTCACTGGGAAATGATGTCAAACAACAGTTGCCCTCTTGTCTGTCTGTCTCTCTCCCTCCCTTCCCTACCCCTACCCTGCAGGCCTGATCTGCTTATCAGGTCTGGAAGAAATTGGGAAAGGTCCCCATCATCCCATGGTGGGGAGAAACAGCCACATCCTGGTCCACATGAAGAGCAATCCTAATAATAGCTATTACTGAGCACCAGTCAGGCCCCGGCGCCCCACCACCTGGTTTCCTGTCCTGTCCCTCCAGAGCCAGCTTGGAGCTACGACAATGTCTTTGTTAGTATCGCCGTGAGAGGTTCAAGAGGCAGCATATCCTAGAAGCTAGGAGCCCAAACTCTGGAGCCAGCCTGCATGGGTTTGAGTCCCAGCTCTACCCTTTAGCCTGTGGGTGACCTTGGGCTAGTTACTTGACCTCTCTGCACCTTTCTCACCTATAAGGCAGAGGTGAAAATAAAACCTCCAATAATGACAAGGTCTACTTTGCAGTGGTTGTGGTCAAAATCTAAGGGGATGCCCATGGAATAATTGGGACATGACAGCCGCCCAACGTGAATGGGCCGTTGTCACGATCCCCATGAGCAAATGAGGGGTGAGGGCACCTGCTCCAGCTTGTGTGTCTCGTGAATGGAGAGCCCGGAGCGTGACTCCCAGCCCCATCAACCATGAGGCCATTCTACCTCCCAAACACACAGGTGTTGATGAATTTAACAGAAAAAAACACTCAAGGCAAAGCCGAACCAGGAAGAATTCTCCAAGCTGTGGAGATTGGGGAAGACTTCCTGGAAGAAGTGAATCTTAAGCAAACCCCTAAAGGAATAAAGAGGTCTTGGCCAAGAGAAGCAGGAGGAAAGGCATTTTAGGCAGAGAAGACAGGTTGGACACAGATCTAGAGGTAGGAAGGACCACGGGGTGTGCAGGAAACTTATGTCAACACGTGAACTTCACACACACGGAATCCTACAGCATGTCCTCTTGTGCACGTGCTTTACAATGTCTTTCTTTCTTTTTTTTTTTAATTTTTTTAACGTTTATTTATTTTTGAGACAGAGAGAGACAAAGCATGAACGGGGGAGGGTCAGAGAGAGAGGGAGACACAGAATCTGAAACAGGCTCCAGGCTCTGAGCTGTCAGCACAGAGCCCAACGCGGGGCTCGAACTCACGGACCGCGAGATCATGACCTGAGCCGAAGTCGGCTGCTTAACCGACTGAGCCACCCAGGTGCCCCTACAATGTCTTTCCACAACCTTTCCACCCAATCCTCCCAATGACCCCGAGAGGCACACAAGAAAGGGAGTTGCATCCCCATTTGGCAGACAAGTTGCCCAAGGCATGGTGAGAGATAGTGATTCTCAGAGTAAGTGTCAGAGCAAGGATGGATCCCCACATCTTCTAACTTCCTTAACAGTCAGCCTTATGAAGAGGAAAGCATCTCAGAGATGCCTCTACCTTCTGAAGAGGTCCAGGGGAGAAGGGTTCTAGATGTCTACACATCCTGACATCAAAGGGGAAGCTGGATGTCAATATCCATTCATTCATCATATTTATTGAGCACCTGCCATGTGCCAGACGCTGTTCAAATTTCTGAGCATACGACAATGAATGAAACAGGCAAGAAAGTCCCTGCCTAAGGCGCCTGGGTGGCTCAGTCAGTTGAGCGTCTGATCTTGGCTCATGTCACGATCTCCCGGTTCGTGAGACTGAGCCCCGCGTTGGGCTCTGTGCAGACAACTCAGGAGCCTGGAGCCTGCTTCAGATCTTCTGTCCCCCTCTCTCTCTGCTCCTCCCCCGTTCATTCTCTCTCTCTCAAAAATGAAAAAAAAAAATTTTTTTAAAGTGTCCCTACCTTCAAGAAACTGACTTTTCTAGTGCAGGAAGTAGACTTTGGGTTTTATTGCAAATGTGGTTCGAAGATGGGATGGTCAGGCTGATGTGTCCACTTGGCTAGGCTGCAGTCTCCATTATTCATTCAAACACTAGTCTCAGTGTCATTGCGAAGGTGTTTTGTAGATGTGATTATAGTCCATGGTCAGTGGACTGTGAGTAAGGGAGATTATGCAAGATCATCTGGGTGGGCTTGACTCAGCCAGCTGAAAACTCCTTGAAAGCAGAGCTGAGGCTTGCCTGAAAAAGAAATCTGCCTGTAGACAGCATCTTCAGCCCATGCCCAAGAGTTCCAGCCTACCTCTCCTGACAGCCTACTTTATGGATTTTGAACTCGCCTGGCCAGCGTGCACAATCACATGAGCCAATTCCTTGCCATAAATCTCTTAATACGTATCTCCGGCTGGTTCTGTTTTTCTGGCTGATTCCATACTGACACGGAATCCTTTGGAGAATTTACATCAGGGGGCTTCCATGTTTTACATAAATATATATTATATAATATTATATGTATAGTATATTATTATATCTTGCATAATGTGTACACAATGTTATGTATTATAATATGCATATATAATTTTAAGCATGTATAATTCAATTTCATTGAAACATGAAATACATAAAGTAAAATGCATAAAGCCATTTTTCCATATGTATACCCCTGAGTGACCTCCACTAGATCAAGATACAGAACACTTCCAGTCCCTGTCCACAAATCCTCCCACATAGCCCTTCACAGACACTTCCTACCCTGGAGGTAGCCATTACTCTGACTTCTAGCATACATCAATTTTGCCTAATATTGAACGTCATATAAATGGAGTCAAAGAGCATGTCCTCTTGTGTACATGCTTTCCATTTAAAAAAGATCCCTGTGGCAAGGATGGAAACCAGGGCCTATGAGGTGGCTACTGCACCAGTCCAGGCGAGTAATGATTGGGATAGCCACAGAGGTAGTGTAAGGGATTAGATGAGAGATGGGTTTTGTTGGTAGAGCTGACAAGACTTGATACATTGGCTGATGAGTATGAAGGGAGAAAAAAAAGACTCAAGATGATTCCAAGGTTTTGACCTGAAGAATAGGGGAAATGGTGGTGCCATTTACCAAAGACAGGGACAGATGGATGGGAGTGAGAATCAACAGTTGGATGATTGGACATGTTGAGTTAGATTCTGCTTAAACTAAAAACATTTCTGTTTGCACAGAGCCCTTCCTCGGGACACAGAACACGTGAGTATACCTGGGTATATTTCCCCAACGGACATTAGTTTATATATTTCCTCCAAAAGACATGTCCTAGAATGTTCCTAGCTGAAGAGTTCATAATAACCACAAACTAGAAACAACCAAAATAACTATAAACAGCAGTAAATTGTGCCCTCATCACATGGTGGAGTGCTATACAGCAATGAGAATGAACAGTCTGCTCCTACATGCAACACCATGGATGAGTCTCGCAAATGATGTCAAGCAAAAGGATAAGACACACAAGAGACCATTCTGTATGATTCCATTTATAACAAGTTCCAAACTGGGCAACACTAAGGTATACAATTAGAAGTCAAGATTCTCAGTGGCTGAAAGAGGGGACAAGAGGATTTCTGGGGTCTGGCCCTTGTGCTTCTTGATCCAAGAATTCACTCAGCTATTTGCTGATGATTTGTGTTCTTTCTATATGTATATTATTTTCCATAAAATGTTTTAAATTTTTATAATAGTTTTTAATTTTTTTTTATTTTAGGGAGAGAGAGAGCGCGCGCGAGTGGGGGAGAGGGGCAAAGGGAGAGAGAGAAAGAGAGAGAGACACTTCCAAGCAGGCTCCACACTCAGTGCAGGGCCTGATGCAGGGCTCAATCCCACAGCTCTGAGATCAAGACCTGAGCAGAAACAAAAGTCGACACTTAACAGACTGAGCCACCCAGGTGCCCCTAAAAATTTTTTAAAAGCACTTTCTTGGTGCAGAAATGACAAAATGGGTGGAGTGGAGAAAACTAACACATACCCTTGTCTTAAAGTTATTTATTTGGTTACAACCAAAGAGCAAAGGGATAAAGAAGACTTCAGTTAACCATCTCAACACATGAACCCCTTGCATGTTAGGTAACGTGTTAAATGTAAAGGAGTGACTGAGTGAATAGATCCAGGAAACATGGTCTCTATTGTGTTGACTGGCTGTGAATTATCCAAATGATGCTTAGTATCATTACTATCTGCGTTCTGACCTAAACGGACTTAAACTTGCGTGTCATTCGTTTTGCCTATCTCTTCACACGTGTCTCTTTCTCATCTTGATCTGTGGTCATTAACCCTTTTTTATTACTCACCCAACAACTAACCATTGCTATTTCCTAACTGCAGTGCATGAGAAATATTTGGTCTTGATGACAAGGAAAAGGCAGTGGAGAGGTAGGGTGGGTGCTATCGACAACATGTTCATTTATGAACATCGGGACTACCACCACTATGGATATAAAATAGTGAAGGGAAATAAGAGGCAAGATTAAAAGCAGGATTGATAGGTAGATGAAAAGATAAAAAGGAAGAAAAAAGAGGAGGGGGAAAACAAGAGAAGAAGAAAATATGCATACCTATTATAGTTCACATTTCTGTAATTGGTCACAAAGCCATAGTTGATATGAAATGTATGATTTCCTCCTTCCATTATTCATTCCAAGTTTCCTTTGCCCTCAGCTAGAGAGTGTCCTTTAACAAGTGGGGTGACCCAAACACTCATTCCTAAAAGGTCTAAATCCTTACTGGTCTGTTTTTTTGTTTTGTTTGTTTGTTTGTTTTACCATTGGACATGGAGCCTCTGAGAAGTGCTCCAGGGAATGTCTTCGGTTTCAGACGTGCCTGTTGGCTCAGTGGCATGAGGAACCCCAAATGCCCAGGTGGCAGGCTCACCTTCAATTCACTGGAAACACTGCTGTGCCCTCTAGTGGAAGCATTCTTTCCTTGGGAACCAAGACCTCCAAACAAGCAAAGCTCAAGGTGGTGGGAACAGGAAGCAAAAATTC